GCACAACTAAGAGCATTCAAGTATGCACAGACAATCATTCAAAACAGGGGGATATAATTGTGGAACGTAGATAGAAGACGAACACACTTATTCGGCATTGAGGTTGAAACAATGGCAGTAGAGGGCCAACAGAGGTAACAAAGGGCGATTCTGTGGAAATCCTAGACGGAACCAAAAGCCTTGTTTATAAGACCAAAATAAATAAATTCTAACTTGTAGCACGACTAACAGATTTTACCAGCGACGTCGTCCGTAAGCACATCGGGGGTATTCGTAATCCCGATCCTTCTCTCTTCACACTTCCCAAATCGATGCATCCAATCCCACGCTGTAACTCGCCACAATTTCCAGACTCGACAGCGAGTCGATCGACTCGGAGTCGGCAATCCAAGCCGTCGATTACCCTCACAATCAACTTCGAGGCTGCCGATCACCCTCCCACGTCAACCAACATTACGAATTTCCAGACTCGACAGCGAGTCGATCGACTCGGAGTCGGCAATCCAAGCCGTCGATTACCCTCACAATCAACTTCGAGGCTGCCGATCACCCTCCCACGCCAACCAACATTACGAATTTCCAGACTCGACAGCGAGTCGATCGACTCGGAGTCGGCAATCCAAGCCGTCGATTACCCTCACAATCAACTTCGAGGCTGTCGCCGTCGAGGAAGAAGAATCCCATGGTCTGAGGAGTTTGAATCAGTTTTGGAGTTGCTGTTCGAAGAGTTTGAATCGGTTGTGGAGATTTCTGTCTCTATTTCTGTAATCAACCACAACAAAAGTGAAAGCACAGAGAAGTGACGAAGACGACTCTCTGCAGAAAACGGAGAGGCGGCCGAGGAGGAGGCCGTTGACGGCGGAGGCCTTGCGGTTTAGGGCTTGGAGGACGAGCTTGATGTAGGCGTTTCATGTTGCCGCCCATTGAGTTTACAGTTGTTCTTGAGAGAGTTGTTCTTGAGAGAGAGAGAGATATGCACAAACAGAGAAGAGAAGAGACGAAGAAAGACGTCACTCTGCAGAAACCGCGTGAACTTGTCAGGTGAGAATATGAGGAGACTAAAATACCCCTCAACAAAACTTGAAATGCCAGACGCTAAAAGACAAAATAGAATTGCTTTTTTGGGGACACAAACGGAATATTAAGAAAGTCAGAAAACCCATATTAGTAATTTGGATAATGGACAAACAGTGGTTCAGGCCCACCACAAAACGCGCAAAATGACAGAAACGCCCCTATATGACCCAGATATTTACCAAGAATATTCCACAACAAAAGGGCTAACAAAAGGGCTAGATTGGCAAGTGAAATTTCGTCGCTTATACGTACGGAAAAAACCAATCCTCCTTTAGTGTCCCGGGGTGGATTATATGCTATTGATCTGCAGTATAATAGCAGTTGTATCCTACTTTCGCGCTATATTTGTTATTGATGCAATTTTAAATGGAAACTTACATAACAGAAGCTGTATCTTACGCTGTTTCTTGTTTTCAATAAACATTGGTTTGATTTCATAGAGAATCTGATATTAAAGGATTATGATTACTGATTGAATCTTTCTCAAAGTTACTTCCTAATAAATTGGTGAGGTACTTAAGTCTTGATATACATATGGTTGCATTCATAGGATCCACCCGAGGATGCTGCTGTTACAAGCTGTGGGCATGTCTTTTGCAATCAATGTGTCTCTGACAGGTGATGACACCAGTGCCCGACCACAAATTGCAAAGCTCGACTCAGTGTTTCTTCATTGTTTTCTACAGAGACATTGAAATGCTCTCTCTGTGAGCAACCTGCTCAGGATGGTATCCTCGATTGTTCTGGTTCTGAGGTGTCTGACAAGCTTGAGCCTGGTTCCTGGAGCCACTCTTTTGATTCCTCCAAAATCAAGGCTGCTCTTGAGGTCTTGCAGTCACTTTCCAAACCAAGCGATTGTACACCCCGACCTTGGTCATCGGAATCTATTGAAGATGGTGCCACTCGCCCTGAAAACTCATCAGATCCTCTCTTCAGTGGTTTGGACTTCGTTAAACGTTCAAATGATTTGATTAGAGTTGCGGGAGAGAAAGCTATTGTCTTTTCCCAGTGGACAAGGATGCTGGATTTGCTTGAAACTGGTCTTATAAAGTCTTCCATTGAGTATAGGAGACTTGACGGGACAATGTCTATAACTGCCAGAGATAAAGCTGTGAAAGATTTTAACACCCTACCTGAGGTTTGTGGGACTTTTGGCGTCTGTTTTTAATAGGCTTCAGAATATTTAACTTTCATGTAGTTGAATTCTTGATTATGGTTGCATTGTACTTTTGGTGTAGGTGTCTGTTATGATCATGTCTTTGAAAGCTGCTAGTCTTGGACTCAACATGGTTGCAGCTTGTCGTGTTCTTCTTCTGGACCTCTGGTGGAACCCTACAACTGAAGATCAAGCAATAGATAGAGCCCACCGGATAGGACAGACCCGCCCCATTACAGTTTTGAGGTTGACAGTAAAGGATACAGTTGAAGATCGCATTTTGGCTCTTCAGGTATATATTCTATGCAAATCTTGTAGGGCTTTTCAAAATCCATACCTGATTTGCATTAGTGTGGTGAGATCTGGTTAATATTTTCTCTTATTGGGTGGTTTCATAAGGGAAGTTGCATTTACAAGGTTTTATAAACTATTTTGTACATCATATGAGAGACGTAGTATACACAATTTGAGTGGCTGAAATCAGTTCTGAAATTGGTTTCAGTATCTTCCATCTTGTGGAAATTCTCATTAAATATTTTCTTTTGCAGCAAAAGAAGAGAGAGATGGTTGCATCTGCATTCGGTGAGGATGAGTCGGGCATTCGCCAGACTTATCTTACAACGGAGGACCTGAATTTCCTCTTCATGTTTTAACTAGGCCATTCATTTCACAGTTTAACTGCCTCTCCCCCCTTTTTTTCCCCTATTTATTCTTCATGAGAAACACCACCTTCACAGTTGAAGCTGACAACAGATCCTTGAAGTAACTAGAAAAGAAATTCTCATTTACGTAGAGATCATCAGAATTGTTATTGGATGAATTCATATTGACCTCAGATTGACAATGTATAGGGTTTGGTTTCAATAGGTTGATAGGGAATATAGGACCCTAATGGCAATTTTTTTACACCGGATTGTAAATGGTAGAGTTCCTTTTTTCCAATTGTCCCGATACAGACATGCTTGTTTGTTCCAACTTCCAGTTATGCTGATATTAGTACTCCTTCCATCCATTTTTAAATATCTTACTTTGTAATTCCAACTTATTAAAAAGACGGTTGTGTTTGGTTGGGAGTTTAGTTTAGTTTAGTTTTGGCAATAGGTGAAGAGAGAAATAGAGTAATGATTGAAGATATGGGTAATGATTGGAGAGAGATAGAGAGATGAGAAAGTAATAATTGGAGAAAGAAATTGGGTAATGATTAAAAATTAAAACTAAAACTAAAAGGTTAACCGAACAAAGCCGATTCATCATTACACTTTTCACATCAATTTTTTCTTCCACTTTTCATACTTATCTATCATTATTACACTTTTATTTATTAACTTTTCAAAATGAAATATACTTTTAGAGACAAAATAGACAATGCACCAACTTTTATCCTCCTATCTTTACGAAATGGATATTTATTAAGGGACATTCTAAAATGGAATAATGGACACTAAATAAGGGACGGACAGAGGGAGTATATAAACGTTGTTGAGAGCTTGGTTGGATTGATGTGGCCATCTTTTTTCTTCCTGATTACATGTTCTTCTCCAATCAAACGGATAGATTTGTTATTATGAGGACTCCGCATTCTTTTTCGTTAAGGGTTTCTGCTGTTGCTTTTTCCTGGCTGCGGTTTCTTCACTAGTTTGGCTTATCTTTTCAGTACTCTACTTCCTGTCCTGGAGTTTTTGTTTTGTTTATCTGTTGTACCTATTTTTCTTGTAGGAGTATTACTCCGTATATTTTTATTTTGCACTTCTTTTTGCTAATATTGTATTCATCAACGGGGTTAGCGGGGCATTAGTAGGTTAGTCCACATGGAATTTCAGAGGCTATCCAAAGTCCTGAATTTCAAACGCTCACGACGGGGTTCAAGCCCTGGCCTTCCACATGGGGAGGTCCACATTTGAAAAGTTATTATCTGATCTTTATCGCCATTTTATTTCAACCGTTTATTTAAATGCTCACATTTGGATAAGTTTATCGGATTGAGAATATGCAAATCATATGTTGCCATAATTACGGTGAAATAAACTCATGATTGAAAAAGGCCTTTTAAATTTAAATTCTTATTGCTCCAAGAAGGCCATGCAGGGACGGAGCCACCTATGTGAATATACATTTAAATAGTGGCACTCCCAAACCATAAAAAATTAACTATACACCATAAAGAAAAGTAAATAATTTTGCAAAAATAAGCAAAGGTTACTTGTTTTTTTATTATTTTACACTCCTCATTTGAGAGAGTCAAAGATAAAATAAACTAATAAAAATTTAAAGGAGACTGATTTTATAACAAAGTATGATAAAATTTTGCAGCTGATTTTGCCACTCTCCTATTTGTTAATACCACTCCCATTTTTGTTTTTATTAGGGTTAATTTACTAAAACACCTTTGCATTTGGAAAGTGAGAAAAAACTAGCATCATAAACTTTCCAAATGCAATGGTGTTTTAGTAAATTCATCCTAATAAAAACAAAAAGAAGAATGACATTAACAAATAGGGAAGTGGCAAAATCATTAGCCTAAAAGTTTTACACAAAATAGTTTGAACCGTGAAAAATAAGTCGACGATGCATCTACCATTCTATTTTCGCCAGGGGTAGTTTTTATTTAGTTTCATGATTAAATTTCAAAATACACGAAACCCTATCCAGACATGAAGTGGTCGGAAACTCCAACTAGAATACAAGATTTTCCGTAGAAGTTGATTGGGATGTAGTGTTAAATTTGAGTATTTAAATACCTTAACAGATGACGTCAGCACACAAAATGGTCCCATGGTCTAGTGGTCAGGACATTGGATTCTGAATCCAGTAATCTGAGTTCAAGTCTCACTCAGGACACCGATCAAAATGCACCGATGGTGTGCAAATTGAATAACTGCAAGTGGTTGATCTAATTTACCAATTTTTCATTCTAGGATCATTTGTGTGAGACCCGGAACTCTGCGTAGATTGACTGAATGCAGAAAACCTTCCACTAGCAGGCGATCGTGTTTTTCACATGCAGGATTTCTTACTCACGTCAGCATTCTCACTTCTGATATTGTCAGGTGTTGTCACATGTGGGTCCCCCAAGCGGATCGGTGCTCCATCATTGCACTTCTCATCGGTTCCCATAGAATTTTTTGCAGGTAAAAGCCTGTCTTGTTTCATAGTGCCATGAAAATGCTGTTAATAATGCCCTTGTATTAATCCTTAGTTTGCAATATTCAAACTCTTCAATGGAATCAATGCTTGTAATCGTATTATGCAGATTGGAGGGAGGACTGTTGAGAGTTTTTTTTTTCCGGATCGAAGTCCTGTTGCCGGACCTTTCGTTGGATGAGCGGGGCTGCCACGCTTGTCTTTTTACAGGTTAACAACGGTTTTCTGCAATACGATGTACAAGCGTAATCGTGCATCGCATGCTTGTATGCTTGCTTTTATCTTGTGCCCAATCGTAGGAGCACCCATTTGACTAGTAGTTTTCAGAGAGGAGCTAGCAATTATGTTTTCAAATTGGGAATGTATGGTGTATTGTTTTTCTTATTTTATAAATCATATCTGGATACGCATCGCAGATTGTAAGATACGTTAACAAAAATTGATATACAATTAAAAATAGTTATACCAAATAACGCACTGGAAATCGTTTGATAATTTAGTTGGCCTATGGCTAATCAGGACAAAATTGGGGCCAATTTCCTTTCCCTTGGTTGCAGCATGCTGGAGAAGTTTTTGGAGAGAAGGCTATCCTAGCAACTGAAGTGAGGGAACTTCAATCTCGCCTGCTCAGCTTGGCAGATGAAAGAGATAATCTTGGTCAATTTTGTACCAATCCTTGTACGTACACCTTTAGTAATGTTGCCATATTTGGATTCTGGCATAACATGTTGCTTTAGGTATTACTATCTGAGTGGTTGGTTTTTCTTGCATATGTACTATTTTTCTTGTTTTTACGGCTTATTTTACCTATTGATTTTCCTGTCACAAAGCTCATTTGATCTGTATCGTTGCCGTAGTGAGTCCCCAATCCCAATGCTTTGGGTTTAATGATATGATTTTTTTTCCTGATGCTTTGAATCTTCTTATTACGACTCCAAAATTTTGTGCTGCTGTCTGGCAATTGGCTACAATGCTTTTGGATCGGAGGAAATCTTTGCATTGTAATTTTTTGGTGAAGTCTGAAAATATGGTTTACTGGATTGTGTTATATTCCTGTCAGTAGCTTTATGTATTAAAGGAATTGGATGTACTTAGATATAGTTTTCCACAATTCATTCTCATTTTCATTTTCATTTACATGCTATTGTTTTGCATTGATCTCAATGGTCGTGCGACTCGTGCTACATCGAGGCTTGTGTCCTTTCTTTATGTTTGCAATGTTCATTTCAATGTTACGGCATTGCACTACTTTAACGCAGTTGTTAACAAGTCCCCTGATGAGGTGCAAAGAATCGGTTGTTCCGTAGGGACAAGCATGCTTAGTATGGATAGCTTCTGGACTCCGTGCTAACTCTAACACCCTCCACTAACCCCCGCTGATGTATGATGATTGAAAAAAAAGAAAGAAAGTAAAGATTCAACTGATTCACAGCCACGTGGTGTGAATCATTCCAACATCACATATTTATGCGGGGTCATACTCTTAATCGTGAACCCAGCAATAATGAGCAGTGTTAGCACTGACCCGGAGTACAACGTGACGGGCTTTGAGAGCACTAAATAATTAGACTCTTTGTACTCTGTTTCGGGATAGTTGGAGTAGTTTGGACAAAACTTTTTCGCTACAAGCTTGTATTCTGCTGTAAAACCTCTGAGAATAACTTATTCAAGGAGAAGTTGTGAATAAGTTATTCACGGAAATGCTCAATCTCAACTGTTCAAAAGTATTTTGAACGATCCGGATTAAAAACAATTTATTACTGGTAATGCTGATAATAGATCTATTACCAGTAATAGATTATTTTTAATGCGGATCGTCCAAAACATTTTGGACAGTCAAGATTGAGTTTTTCCGTGAATAACTTTTTTGCGGAGCTTCGTGAATAACTTATTTACGGGGCTATTCTCCAATGAAGTGAAAAAACTCTTATACTTAAGTTTCTTTTTGTTTAAGAGTTTTATTGAAATTGAGAAAGCAATATTTAAGTCAAGCTATTTGGGAAAATTTGGCTCGATTAAACTTTGGGTGGTTGCAATCTTTTATTTTATCTAGATACCGAGTAACTTACCAGCCTAAAATGGTAAACTGAACATGTTTTCCGTTTCCTAAAATCTTCAGAAATCGTTCGTGAGTTTTGGTAGGAAAATGGTAAACCAAATATGTATTCCGGTTTGTTTCCAAAAATTTTGAAACCAAAAAACAAAAAATTTAAAGAGTACTGCTACCCGTACCGACCAACCCCCACCGAAATCATACCGACGGCCACCGGACGGCCGATCCGAGCCGTCCAAAAAATTCTAAAAAAAAAAACCGAGGGGCCCCACGCGAGAATCAATGGCATCCGACGTGTGTAGGGTGCTTGGATCAAGAACCCTTTTTCTCGTGTATATAAATCTATATGTATATACACGAAAAAAAGGGTTCTTGATCCAAGCACCCTACACACGTCGAATGCCATTGATTCTGGCGAAAGGCCCCTCGGTTTTTTTTTTTAAGAATTTTTGGACGGCTCGGATCGGCCTTCCGGTGGCAGGAGACGGCCTTCCGGTGGCCGTCGGTACGATTTCGGTGGGGTTGGTCGGTATACATATCATTTTCGAAATTTAAAATACCAAGGAGTTCCGTTGAACGGGTGGAATGCAACTACTTTTAAATAGACCGGAGAGATTTGGGGTTCCTTTGTGTCAGTGGATGAAGCTACCCTGAAGGACTTGTCTTTTGCAGGAGGGAAAGTTCTTATAGTCACCAAGGAGGTAAGGAAAATTGATAGTTGGATTCAACTTGATGTGCAGGGGGTGCAATACGATGTTACAGTCCGTTCCAGAATACCTTCTTAAAAAATAAATACTTATTTCGGTCTTGTTTGGTAACCATTTCATTTCCTATTTTCTGTTTTCATTTTCAAAATTTAGAACCGAAAGTTTGTTTGGTTGTCTATTTTTATTTTTAAAAATTAAAATGAGTTTTCTAAATTTTTGAAAATTGAGAAAGTACCAAAAGTCTACTTTCTCTTCTTTTAAAAATAAAAAACCGGCCGCCAAAAACAGGACGCGCGTTCCTTTTCTCCTTATATCAGTCGACTTCTCCTTATCTCATCTGACTCTTCTCCAGATCCATCGATCTCTCTCGATCCCACTGGTTTCAAGCGGCTGAAAAGGTCTCTCTCTCTCTCTCTCTCTCAATCGATCGATCGATCTTCGTACAACACTCCTCGGATTTCGTCAATTGTTTGATCGCTTTTTTGATTCGTATTTCTAGATGCATTGCACATATATCTGTAAGTTTGGGGCGGTGAATGAGCTATTGTTCTCTGTAACCGTATATAGTAACAAAAATCCCACTGGTTTCAAGCGGCTGAATCTGCTTTTGTTGTTGTACTGTACCCCTGTCGTTGGTTGTGCCTTCATGTATTGAAATGTAAATAATCACCTGAAGTGGGAGGTGTAGCTGATTCCCTGTGGTCGAAGAAAATGAAGCGTTTTTTATTGACATTATGGAGGAGGAGGTGAAAACAATGGTAGTAGAGATACTGGGACTTTTCAGATAAAAAGTTGGGCTAGGATGAGGAAGAGTCTTTCTGCTAAAGCTAAATACTGTTAATGGGAAATCTTTATGATGTTACTGGGCAGTCTTCTTTTTCAGCAGTCTTTAGTAATTTGTTGACCTTTTTGCAATATACAATTATATCCCTATATTTTGTCCCTTCTTTGTTTCAATTATGTTCTACGCAAGATTTAATGTGGCCAATGTAACATTTCATTGAAGGTAATGGAAGTATCTAGTGCTCGAAACGATGTCGCTGTTGACTCAGATAACATGGTCTTTGAAGAAGGCCAATCATCAGAGTCTGTCAACAATATATGCAAGTCTGCCGGCCATTCATGACTATGAAAGCTTAGACACAATCTCTCTCAAGTTGGGGTTAGTTAATTTCTTGAAAGTTATGCCGTGTTTCTAGGTTTCATTGACTTCAAGCATCTTTTTTATCGCGTTGGAATAGATGCACTGATATCGTTAGTAGTTTATTAATCGATGCACTGATATCGTTAGTAGTTTTTTTGATCGGTCGGTGTTTTCAGTTGGTTGAGTGTTAGCTTATTTGGCTGTGTTTGAGTAAACAATCATTACTAGCCCTCAAAAAATGGTAAGTTTAATACACAGATACACTCCAATTCAGTTCAGTAGGACTGGAAGGATCATAGGAGATAATTTGAGAAGCAAATTCATGTGCGTATGTGTCACAGGACAAATTAAATTAGCAATCTTGAATCAAGTACATACAAAAATGTGCTTCATCACCACTCAACCTCAAACTTAAAAATCACCATGACCACACTTTATCCCTCTGCTACTTTATTCCACAGGAAGATTACGAGCATCTTCCATCCGGTAAAATCTGTTCAGAGAGAATTTACAGAAGATACTAGGTTTAGAGTTGTTCCGAATGCTGTTATCTTGTCCATTTACGTTTCGCTATGTCGGATAAAGAGCATTAATTCCACGTTGGGGGTAGTATTTTGAGATTTTTGTTCTTGGGAACTGAGAGAGTAACGTTCTGCAAAGGCCTTGCTATAATTCTGAATTGTTGCTGAAAACTTGTAGAGAGTTACAAAATTGGGCCATTTTTAACTGTTTCCTTTGAACCTTGATTTAAAGTGGAATGCATTTGTTTCCAATGGCATTTGTGATCATGCTT